GTGTGGTCCTGTGGTAATACTTAAAAACGTTTGAATCAAAGGTAAAAACTGGTGTGAGTGTAGAAAATATCGGTGGAACACAGAACAGATGTATCAACAGCACGAAATCAAACACTCTGAATATTGTAAATTAAAGATAGAATAGAGCCGGAAAAAATTAACAAATACTCATAAATAAGTTAAACAGTAATGACAATTAAGGAAACTTAATAAAAACTGCAATAATGCTATTCGAACATACCCACTTGTTTGAGTGCACCAATTTATATTATGTAAAACGACCTAAGTCTTTGATTCTGTTTCTACATATGACCTTTTTGCACGAACATTACTTGATAATGAATATTCATTAAAAACTAAAATGGGAGTCGAAGAAAGCAAGTTTTCAAGCACTTCGCGATACGAGGACCACATTCACTGTCCGCAGCCTAATCCTGCTGGAAAGCAGTGGTCAATAATACACAATTGCCAGTTAGATGTTTGGAAAAAAGAACATCACGGTAAGACATACTGCTCTTTAATATTTTCAGAACTATTTAATTTTTCGGATAAAATTTTGGAGTGCCCTTACAATGTCCCAAATGACTGCACACAATCGTTCTGTCTCAGTCGGCAAAATATCTTAAATCTCAATAAGCGCAATCATGGCTTTTCCCTTCGTAAGCACAAGAAGCACTCAAAAATCGCAGAGCATTTCGAGTACAACCATATACCTGCACACTTATCGTCTATACAGGTAAAAAATCTCATGGGTGTAAAATCTGCCAGAACTTGCATTTTAAGTCAATCCTGTGCTCGAGGAATGGTCTCGCTATCGTTCATCTCGCGAGGAATTTCATAACGCAATTCGGAATTGTTGATATGCACATAAACAAATTTTTGGGAACTTTTGGACGCCAATCGGTCAAGTATTATCCTGAGTCCGTTGCAGCGCAAATATCACCAGACTGCTCCTGGTGTCTTATTCGCATGCCCTGGTCCCGTAACAATCGTGTGACTACTTTACAGGTAGGTATTTTTATAGTTTGCTGTATAATTACACACAAACACATATACGAATGTTTTTGAGTGTTCGATGATCTTTAAAAATGGCATTTTAACAAAAACTTTTGAGGTTTTTGTTTGTTTAATGTATGTTTAAATTACACTTTACAGTTGAAGTATCCCTGCCGGCACAATCCCCGGACTGGACGGGGGATGGCACCCGGGGAATCCGGGGGAATACAGGGAAAACCGGGGGAATACGGGAGACTCCAGGGATGAAGAATTTTTAATTAATGAATTATATTTACCAAGCTCATTTTTCAAGGTTTACTTTTTATTAATAATTTATGAATGACATTATCGGCTAACAAAACAATCAATTTGGAGTCTTAAAAAATAAGAAAAATGGGGCGGTGGGGGTTGGGTTGAAATCCTCATCCTGAGCCCCGTCCTTATTCCCCGTTCAATCCGGGAAAAGATCGCCAGTTTGGACGGGGCTCAGGATGGGGATTTCAACCTGTCCCCTCGCCGCCTGAAAAAATATTTTCGCGGCAGGACACCCCCTTGTTCTCATTTTTAGACCCCAAGCTGGTTGTTTTGTTAGAGGATAATGTGATTAATAATTTAATGATAAAAAAGTAGATCTTGAAACATGGATTCTGTAGATATAACTCGTTAATCAAAATTTTTCATCCCCAGATTAACCCGTCTAGAGCACGGGGATATGAGGAGTGTGCTGGCAGGGATGGGAGTATGTTTTGAAATGTTTGCTCACATTAACAAGAAGTCATTTCAAAGCTGACTTTCATAAAATTTAATTGGATTGTTTCTACTTGGATTTGGCCTTGGTTAACTCCGTTAATGGGAAGGTATTGATGGTTTGCACATGGTTTGATTTCGTCTTTGATAATCAACCTTTCATCGCTCGTCGAGACTTTGGAAAGTTTCTTCAAACTATACCATAGAACATTTATTTTGGACGCTAAATAAAGCATACCGGTGTTTGCCGAAACTTATGTTCTTATTAGGAGACCAACACAACATGTAATATACAGTCACACAGTTATAGTTACAATTGAGTGTGTTTAGCATATATTAGCATTCGGAACGCCTTTTTGATAGCCGTTGAATAAATAAAGGAGAGACCTATGTGCTCATCGATATGCGGTTCTCTTTCAATGTTCACGTTTGGTTCAGCGCACTAAGCTTAATATAGTTCAAAATCTATCCGGTAAATGTTTTGATCTCCTGGTCTTTTAACCTTGTTTTCCGTATCAATATGATAGAGTATTCTATGGAGTAAAATTTCAATTCGGCAGTTTATGTTTGTTGTTTTTGTTCCGCAGAGTTTATTTTGTTAAATAAGCCAGGAAAAATTTACTAATTTGACGCGATGCCTTTGTAGAAGAATTTTGTTAAATCCTCCAGTTTCGATTTAACCATCTTTTATCCCCTGTTCCTGAGGGGACTTTTTATTCAGCCAGTAAGAAGTTCCTTTTCTGGCTGGCAAAAGGGAGCCAGGCATAGTTAGCGAAATAAACCTCGCACATAAGTTCAGAGTTGTCAATGCAAGTTGGCCAACGCCATAGATGATAAAGATTGGAACTGAGTACATGGCAATGCACTTAAACGGCCATAAGGCTGAGTGTACGGCACTTAATTGGACGGGGTTAATGGTCTGCAAGTAGTGAGTAAGGAGGATATAGTTAGTTTGTAAGGATACTCCGAAGCATCCTACTTTTTTCGTTTTTGACATTTTTGCGCGTTGAATGACCCTGATCCAGGCCTATTAGTATTCTCCTCTATTAACATCTATCTTCTTGAGATGGCACTTAACGTTATAATTAGTTTTTTCTAAAACTAAAACGGCCTTAAAAAATAGGAAATGTAGTCAGTACATTGAGAAACACGTTAAAGTAACAGAACTGTAGGGGCTTATTGCTATTATTTTGATTATAACTCAATCAGTTTAACTTTACGAGGCAAGCCCCACAAGTCATGATTAAATCGACCCCAATTTTGAAAAAAATGTAAACTTTACCTTTGGACATTTTATCTAAATACTATTTTATAACTATTTTATAATATAGCAGACATTATCACGCATATAACCTTATGATTATTTGGCCTTTTCGTAGTACGAAGCTGTGGAAGGTTCTCAACGAATTATTTTAAATTTATATATTATTTGCTACCTTTTTCATTTTCCAGTTGACTGCATCATCTAATTTCTTAAATGAAAAAAATTGGTGAGCGCAGCAAGAGGATATATAAAACTCCCAATAGAATGCGACGACCCATTTCCATCCGCATAATAGTTTATGTTTTAGTATTTCGGCATAGAAAGGCAAAGTAGTATGGCTATTTCGGGCTGTTGGCCCTCATCAGCTACATGCAGCCAACTCTAATGTAGCCGCTGAAATTGCCGCCACACCCGAGTTTCGAACTCGCG